GCAGAGTGAAATACAGTACCTGTTCAAACTGCACTATAGAAATGAGGGAAGGGATGATCATCTGTTAGAGAAAGTATCTCTCCAGGTTAGTTTTTCAATTGCTCTCTGAACTGAGTGGGTAAGATAGACCAATTATCAATCCTTAATGGCTTGAAAACCCATTACCCTTTAAGAGTATGGTACAGGTCTAATTGCTAGCTATGGAATTCTCACTCTCCAACATGCAAAGACTATCAAAATGAAGAGACTGGAAAATCTGTCTGATGGGGGAAAATGCAGATAGCAAAATATTCATAGTGCAGCTAAAACAAGGTGGAATTGGGGACAATAGAGCCATCTATAAATATACAAAGAAAATAAACATCAAGGAGTGGGAAGAAACTGAGAAAATGAAAATTTAAGTTGAAATATTAAGAAAAATTTGCTGACAATGGGATGGATTAATCTGTGGAATTGTTACCCAAAGGAAATGGTGAAATTCCCCTTGTTGGGGCACTTTAAAACTAGACTAGACAAAGCATTTAAAAGTGCTGTAGGGAAAAATCCAGCACTGAACCAGGAGATGGATCAGATAAAGCACAGAACTGTAGATGTTAACTTAAAAGCTTATGACACATTTATTTACAGTGAAATTATGGGAATTAATGGGCCATGTTGCACACATGCCACACCCACTGCTAATTAAGACAATATGAACCAGGAATAATTTTGAATCAAGTTATTACTCTTAGCCAACTGAGACCTGATGCTACAAATTAAAGCCAAATACACGTGATCTGGCATACTGGGCACAGTGGAACTGCCATTCTGAAGTATTGCAAAAACAATTCTTTGTTACTGTATTTTAGCTGGTTTGAATAATGTTCTGGCTCAAGAACTAGAGGTAAAAGGAGCTATTATGCTAGGATGTAGATTCTTTGGTTAATGAAAGAACTTCCTAGCCCAAAATCGTTTTGGGCTTTGCTATCCCTCTTTGGTGGTGCTGCTAAATATCAAGAAGAGGAGTCCTGCAGAATTTGAGGGCAGAGAAACAACCTGTACAAAAACACAGGACATTTGAGGGCTCTAAAGTGTCCCAATATTACCAGCTATAATCTTTCCTCCATAGATTCAATGACAATGATGTTCCTTTTTTTCAAAACATGCAAAGCTATGACTACTTCCAGTGATAGTAGTCCAAAGGCTAAAGGATACAAAAGTCTCTTTTCCAGGGAGTTGAGAGATTAAAAAAAATATATTCAACAACTGGGTGTTCTATATAACTGATTATTCTGAAGTGTAAGTAAGCATCCGACCAAGGTAATAGAACTGCTAGTTTCTCAACCAAACAGACATACATTTCTTTGTTCACCACTGAGTGGTGCTATTCTCCTTAAAAAAGGATTTTTCCAACTTCTCAAGTATATTAGCAAAACAGGTTTTTTTGGATTTACCTATAGCTTTCAAGTCGATCTCAAAACTATACCTGAGATTTAAAGTTGCTGTGCAGCTCTCAATCACCTTGTACAAAAAACAGCTATTAAGACAGAGTTGGAGGACTGGATAACTCAGGAGATTGGTGAAAATGTAACTTTCACTTCCAGACTAGCTCCTCACATCAAGCACGTTTCATGGAAGGCTGAACATTCCCAAGCAGATGGGTATTTGGTAGCTTATGTGAGTCGGTGGCCTCAATCCACTCCTGAAGGACACGTGTATATAACAAAGAATGCAGCACAACCATATTCTAGTTGACTATTTACACGGCAGCTCTTTGTGAAAGCAGCTTGTGGTTTGCAGTTTATTTTTTTAATGAACTTAAGGCCCCTTTCTGTATAATATTTAGTATTATCACTGAGCCTGGAGTTGGATAAAAAGCAGAGCACGAAGACTAAAGGAGTCTGACAGAGTCAGACAAGGGCACTGAGTTTGGTGCATGAGGCGAAAGTTCACTTTTGAAATTTTAGATCTCACAAACCTATAAAGAATTGGCTCCTAAGAGGGAGAAGTTGGTGATGAATAGATTTAGCATAGGCTCTCTGCCTCCTTGCTTTGTCCCTCTTAATACACTGATAGATAGTTTTGACTAAAAAGGATTTATCTTGGATACATTTATGGTGCCCATTACTGTAATATTCGAGCACCGCACAATCTTTAATGTATTTATCGTCACAACACCCCAGTGAGGTATAGGGAAGTACTATTTGTCCCCATTTTACAGATGGGGATCTGAGGCAGAGAGCAGCTAAATGACCTGCCCAAGGTCACATAGGAACTCCAGTGTCCTGTTTTGGCACTTCACTCAGATGTTGAATGAAAGAGATACCTGCCTCAATACTGTTTTTGGAAAAGTCTGCATAATCTATACATATATAATCTCAGGGCTGTCCCAATGACAGTCAGGCTGCAAGCTACTAAGGGGAGAGGAATATTGAACCCAGCGTTACTTCCCCTTTCAGTGCCACTGCCAGGGGTTGTGGTGGTGGAAATAAGGCTAGAGTTGGGAATTGCCAAGTCAAAACAAGACTGCAGAGCCGCTAAGCACTCGCATGTGCTGCTCATTCCTCAGGATATTTCCACATATCACGTTAGAGCACATGACTACAACATCTTTCCCTGTGTAAAAGGAAAAAGAGGTAGTGTCCTGCCAATAGTACATGAGGTGCCCACTGTAATCTTTGAAAAAGAACTTACACCAAGGCCACAGGAACCCAAATACAGTATACCCAGAAGGGTGGACTGAAGGGACGTATGGTGCATTGTTGCTTCCAGAATACTTTGCTTAGCTCTGGAGCACTCTTGAAAAGGGGAGCTGGAGACTTCCAGTAACTAAAATAAACTAAGTGAAAAAAGGAAACAACGGATAAACAATAACTAAGCTACATCCTATTTAGCAATTCTTACAAAATAAATATAAATAATATAAATAATAAAATATAAAATAGAAACTTGACATTTAAAAACCAAGAGTATAAATGAACTACTTTGCTGATGGCCCTTTCCTAGACAAACTGCTTTCCGCTTTTAACAGGATATTGAAATCAATGGAACATTAGAATATTTGGCATATTAAGAAGCACAACAGATGGATTCTACTTTGATGTATATGGTACTATTAAGCAACCCAAGTATCAGGGGGTAGCCGTGTTAGTCTGTATCTACAAAAACAACAAGGAGTCTGGTGGCACCTTAAAGACTAACAGATTTATTTGGGCATAAGCTTTCGTGGGTTGCATCTGAAGAAGTGAGGTTTTTACCCACAAAAGCTTATGCCCAAATAAATCTGTTAGTCTTTAAGGTGCCACCAGACTCCTTGTTGTTTAAGCAACCCAGAACACCCCTAGGTTTTCACTGGATGTATTTGAACAATTCAGCAGTAGTCAAGTGATTAAAGTGCGATTCTGCTCTAAAACTTGAATCAATGGTATTGTGAAATACCATGTTTGTCTTGCAATAATTTCTCCATCAAGTATGTTCAGTTTACAAGAAAAAGGTACTTTTTTCTGTTAACTCTCAGAATCCAAGTTGAATTTGTAGGACTAAGTTTGGTTCTTTCCTTATATTATAAATACATAAATATGATTGCACCATCACCTATCAAAGGTTCTGCTGGCCATATTCTGCAATGTTGCCGATTTTTGTGATTTTATCACAACTCTCTCAATAATTTTGAGGGCTTTTTTCTTAATTTTCATATGATCTCCCTATTCCCGCCTTCCATCTTGTGCATTTTCACTTATTCATCAACTCTTCCTAGAGAGTTCTGAAAGCACATCACTTTTGTCTCAATAAGGGGGATACACAGAGGTCAACCTGAAGAAGTAGTCTTCTTCTTTTAAACACACAAGACAAGCACAGTATGATCTAGTGGAGAGGGCACTGGACTGGAATCCAGGACACCTAGATTCAAATCCTAGCTCCATCGATGGCCTGAGTGACCCTGGGCCAGTCACTTTACCTCCCTCTGTCTCAGTTTCGCCATCTGTAAAATAGGGATAATGATATTGACCTCCTTTGCAAAGAATTTTGGAATCCTACTGTAGCGGGGTGGATACCCGCTCCTGCCCTGAGTGGTTGGAAAAGCCCGGCAGACGGCTGGGGCTGGCCAAGGTAAAACCCTGGCTGATTAGGGGAAGTGGCTACAGCTGGGCCACACCCTAATCAGAGCAGGGCTGGGGAAAGGCTGAGGAGCTCCAGCCTGGAAAGCCCCAGGCTGTGGCCTAGTATTAGGCCAAGGGGTACTGGGGGTTGCAGAGGGCAGCAGGTCCAACCCCTCCTTGCCAGTGATGAGTGGCCTATACGGCAGTCTGCCCCAGGGCGTGGGGGCTAGATGGTGACTGGCAGTGGCCTAGTGCTGAGGCAAGGTGGGGATAGTGGGTGGGAGTTCCCCAGGGAGGGGAGACCCAGATCTGTGGAGTACTGCCAGGGGGCACCGTCCCAGTAATAGGGGCACCGGGTCCTGGGAGGGACACGGGCGCCAGAGGACGACAAGTCGGATCACCGGCCTGCAGAGGGCGCTCCAGAGGCTGGTGAGCTAATTCCCTGGACGACCAGCAGGAGGCGCCGCAGGGGTGAGTCCGAACGTCTACACCTACAGATGAACAGCATTTTATAAGCATTAACTATTATCATCAGAAAAAGAAAAGAGCTGCGCATGAGACCATGAAGAGCTGAATGCAACTGAAGAACTACAGGTTTAGTATCCTAGCTCTTAACACACATGTTCCCTCCAATGTTCATGAAATTAAAGCAAGAAGGCTCCTGATGTTAGCTTAAATTGCTTCCCTACATTGCAAAATATTTCTGCATCCCAACTGGATTTCAATACAGTTATATACAACCGTTATTTTAATGAGGCAACTTTATTGTTATTATTGTGGTGTAATGTTTTAGGTTTGGTTTTAACAGCTCAAACTTAACCCACCCCTTTTTCAATAGTCTTAATACAAGGCATATGAACCTTCAAAATCATTAAGTGTCACACACATAAAAAGGAAAAACATGACTATGTTCTGACTTACATTCTCTATGACAAATGTCCACTCTTTGTCTTCAAATTCTTCAGCATGGGGATCCTGAAAAAAAGGGGGAAAAAATACTTTAATCTAAAAATTACCCAGATATAAGAAACTGCAACTGACCCAACATTGCCGCTTATTCATTTAGGTTTCCTTATTTGATAGAGATGAGGCACAGAAAAAATATTTTAGCCAATATACAGCTTTCAGTACGTAATACCGCCACAACACTTTCACTGGCTGTGGACTGGTACAAACAAGAGATGCATTCAGAACAGATCCTATGATTCTACCACCCTTCATTCAGGATCATCAATTTTTCAATTTAATTTATAAAGCCCCTTGCTTCTCGATAACTACACCATAGTCCCACATCTTGCAGAGAACGCAGGCAGAAGCTAAGCTCCTGCCTAGATCAAACAGGTAGCTCTTGTACAGCAGAAGTCAAGTCCCTATCCTCATCTTCACATGCCTAAGAACCATCTGTGTGATCAGGGAACATAATACAACTCCTTCAGGTAGAATCTCTCGTGTCACCACAAGTTACACCAACACCCATCCTGCTGGAGAATGGCCTCCTTTTTCAGTCAACTCTTGTTTAGGGAATAACACCACTTTTACCCCCCACAGAAAGATGCATGATAGGCTTCATGTGCTAGACAGTAACATGAGGAAATGAGCAGGGATCCTACTTTTCCAGGATTAAAAAAACAAAATTCTCCAATAAAAAAATTAAAATCTGTGTTTTTCCGTGATTAAAATGAAATGCTGAACTTTAGTTTTCCTAGCTACAATATATGTAGGTATCAGTTGAATGCAATGTTTTATTGATATGCAGTAGAACCCCGTTTATTCAAGCTTCCATTATCTGGCTCTCCATATTAGCCGACCCGCCAGCCACCTGGGGCTGACAGTGATGGGGCTCAGGCTGTCAGCACCGGGAGGCTGTCGGGCTATCAGCCACCCTTCCTCCAATCTTAAAATAAGAGATAGAAAGCTCTTTGCCAATTCTACTGATTATCCCGATTTTTGATTATCCGATCTGGCCCCAGTTCCAATTAGATCGAATAAATGGGGTTCCACTGTAAATTTAAAGCACATTTAAAAATCAACCGCAAGAGGGAGAGGTTGACCATAATGAATAAGTGACACTGGTACTTTCAGTAAAATTTAGTGAATAGTTAATATGTTTTTATGTTTTCACAAAATGTAAAAACTAAAGTCTCGCTGAAAAAACACAAATTCCGCATTTTTCAGTGGCAAATGGATTTCTAGGATCCCTGGTAATAAGTTATGTCCATCTCAACTCAGTGATCTAATGTACATTAAGGTTATTAGAAATTAAGATATGAGGAAGACATTAAGTGATTGAGTTCATGCCCCTTCAAACAATAATGCAGGATTTTTCCTACAGAAATTTTCTATTGCAGTACTTTGTCCAATCTAGTTTTAAAAATCTCTAACACAGCAAAATTATACCATTTCCCTTGGGAGACTGTTTCTCATACTAGCAGAACTCAGTTTTAGGATTTTTCCCTGACATTCAGACTTTTTCCATTCCTCAATTTCATCCTATTATCCCTACTTATAGCCCTTGAACCATTCAATTATTCCTTTGCCACCTCAGTGTTTACCTCTTTCAAATACTTGTAGATGGATGTCATATCCCATAATCATCATTTGACTATGTTATGCATAAATTCAGTCCCTTAGCCCTTTAATCGTTTTTGTTTCTCTTATCTGAATCCCTTCTACAATTTTAATCTATTAAAGCAATTTTATTCTATCACTGTAAATTGAAGCATAGAACTGAAGAGATTTTGCTTCTACTTTTTTTACCCTAATCCATACCACATCTTTTCTTTCAAGCCCGCTACAAGACTGTATTGTCCTTCCTGCTCAACTCACTTTAAACTATTCTCTTCCTAACCATCCATGCTTTTCTTAATTTTGCATTTTCTTCAAGTTCAATATAGAATCATTAAGGAAGCACTGTGTAACAGTATTTTATCTTCGTTACAAATGGATTTGAGAGATCCCTTGATGAAGTCTCTCTCTAAAATGAATATAATGAATGACCTGGTAAATAACTAGCTTACGAATAACTGCTGAAAAGGAATACTTAGTGATTTCCACATCAAGAAGTCAGAATACTTACTCTGTTAAATAATTCCTCTTTTGTGATAGTGATTGTGCAGTTATATAGTGATTGTGATTCCTCCATTGGGATAGTGTTTCTCTGGAAGTGTCATATTATACACATTATAAATACTATGCTATGGAGACAGTTGAAGAGCAGTCCTTCCTGCAAAATCCAGCAGGGTGGGCTCAATTTCCTGCAGAGTCCTTGGCACCTTAGCTAGACAAGGACTCACCTTAGAGGAATTCTATTCATGTGTCTCAATAGCACACACAATGAATAAATACAGCCAAAGCTTCAATGCCACTTGTGAAATATCAGTCTGATTGTTTGCTAACTGATGTAATGGGGCTATATTTTATGGCTACAAATAGGGTGACCAGACAGTAAATGTGAAAAATTGGGACGGGGGTGGGGGGTAATAGGAGCCTATATAAGAAAAAGACCCAAAAATCGGGACTGTCCCTATAAAATCGGGACATCTGGTCACCCTAGCTACAAAGGTCAAAGCAGTAAAATGTGTGTTTTAAAATATATTTGACATCTGTTACTTTTGGGTGCATTTCGAGTACAAAAAGTCAAAAAAAAAAAAAAAAAAGATGTTGCCAGCAACTAGTTACAAATTATCCAATACGACTTTAATTAAGTTAAAAAAAAGAGAGAACCATTAGCCATAAGTTATAATGATTTAAGATACACACAACAAGGTGTATCCCCGGATAGCTGCATACTGAAATTAAGGTACTTGTAATTATAAGATCATGTAATAACATGTATATCATTTTAATCAACTTTGTAGGACTACTGTACATAAACAAAATTAATGAAATTGTACGATACTTGGCTGACTTACTATACCTCATATCAATACCACATAAATCATTTTCCACCATTCAGCTATTAATACTTGTCATTTTAATGATTTATCCTAGGGTTACTACCTTGTTTAAAAAAAACGCTCTTTGATATAATATGGAAGCAGCATAAAGAAATCATTAATCATTCTCTGTTTTAATATCCTACTGCCTGATAAAATAAGTGACTAATATCTTTAATATTTTGTCTAGCCTTTTGGGGGGGGGAGGTGTCTATTTTCTGTGTGAGCTTATACCTCTACCACTTATAAAATCAGGGCACAATTTTGCAATCAAAACAATATTTTTGTTCATGTAGGATCTGATCAAAGGCCGGTTGAAGGAAACTGAAGCCTTTCCATTGACTTCAATTGATGCTAGATCAAACCTGTAATGACTACAGAATCAAACCTTTTGATGGTGTATTTCTGATTTCTTATGGATATGGATGCAGTACAGTTTTATATTGCAAAGGTTACTTATTGATTTAGGTGTACAGTTCTCACATACTGCTAAAGTATTGTGTAAGCACTTTTTCATATAATTAATAAAAATGTATTTTAAAAAATAAAATGCCCTAAGTCAAACAGTTAAAATCAAACTACAGTTTTCCTTTTTTGTATTTCTCTAATAAAGTCTTACAAAAATAAAAATGCCAGAAGGCATAACAATACATCATTAAAATGATCCCTATTTAGTACACATGCTGTACATTTCACCTTTAAAGCAGATTACAAACTTTATGTACATGTTTTAATTAAAAATATGTGTTGCTAATCTTTAATATCCCTTAAATATGCAAAACTTTGGAAAACTCTGAATTAATCTATACACATACACAGAGCTGTCCCTAGGGGGGTGCAGGACCCAGGGCAGAAGTGATGAAGCCGTCACTTCCGGGACCAACCTTTCACTTCTGGGACTGACTGTGCTGGCCAATCACACTGGCCCGTGGGGATCCCCCGAGCGTGGGGCCCAGCGTGGTCACCCCGATTCGTCATACCCAAGGGACCGCTCTGCACATACACCTCAGGGTTCTGATGAGATCACAAACTACTCTAGCTTCATTCTTGTTGCTATAATGATTTATTTCGAATTCCACTGAAGTATATGTATTGTCACTTCCTAGTTACCCAATAACTTTGTTGTAGTTGTCATCAATAGGTACCTCTACATTTATGGTTGTAATGCAGTTTCCATTTCATTCTCATTTCCACATGCTCGGACACGTTCCCCTTTGGGGCTGACATTTTCAATGCTTGGTCTCTGCTAAAACGTGACATGTTTAAAGTTGAGCAAATCCTTTCATCTGTTTTGGATTTACACTGGAAGAAAAAAAAATCTCCCCCACTTTCAAAATAAAATCTTACTGCCTCTCCTCACTCCCCAACTATTGCCCTGCACAAAACGCAAGTGGCTGAACTTTGGTGCTTCAAATCTAGTACGTAAGGTGTCCTCGATGAAGAGGGCATGCTTTACCAAGATTGAAAAAAAAAAAAAAAACCTGGCTAATAATAGTTATAAAGAAAAAAAAAATCACTTTAGCCCATGCATAGTAACACCTAAGATTTTTAGTCTACTGAAGCCCATCCGGCGGACATATCACAATGCACATATTCTTACCCTACTTGTGAAGGACCCAGAAAGCACACTACAACTTATCACCTGTTTGTAACGGGGTTGTGATACAGTTGATTCAAAATGTGGTGTTGGAAGAGCAGTTTTTTCTGCAAAATCCAGCAGGTTGGCTCAAATGCCCATAGCAACCTGTAAAACCTTGACTCACCTTAACTATATCAATGTGTCTCAATAGGACACATGATTTGGAGGATCATTAATGATCTAGAGGATGGCGTGGACTGCACTCTCAGCAAGTTTGCAGATGACACTAAACTGGGAGGAGTGGTAGATATGCTGGAGGGTAGGGACAGGATACAGAGGGACTTAGACAAATTAGAGGATTGGGCCAAAAGAAACCTGATGAGGTTCAACAAGGACAATTGCAGAGTCCTGCACTTAGGACGGAAGAATCCCCTGTTACAGACTAGGGACCGAATGGCTAG